GAGGCGTCCATGCATCTTTGAAGGAAGCTCACGACTACCAGATTGCTTTTCTTCTGTAAGGAATGGCAGAATCGCATTTAATGAATCGACATTCAAACTGCTAACGCAATAGCGTCGTCACTTAGCCTACCACATAGAGGTAGGATACAACTCTGAAAAGGAGCATGGTTAACTTCGTCAAATAAGCCATTCATTGTCTGATAGCAACGAAATTAGTCAGACGTGCATTCGAAGCGTGCATGAGCCATAACGACACGGACGGCTCGAGGACATTATCGCCTACGCCCGGTCAGGACTGAGGAATGGAGTCAGAAGTTAAGCTCACATTCTGTTCATATCAAGGAGAGCTTGTTCGTTGATCTTATCCCGAGTGAACCTGGTCACCAAGGGACCAAAATTAACCGGGCATTTAGAGCACAGAGGAATAGATCAACAGAGGTGCAACGACACCAGAATTTCAATGACAAGGATGGTGAAAACAAAATAGAGAACGGAGCAGATCAGAAGTGCATTTATAGCGTATGATACAATACTATAAAGTAGAGCAAGATCCATACAGACGGATCACTCACTAAGATTCTCAGATCATCCTATGGATAGGTAGTTGTAGAGCAAGATGGCATCAGGGGGGGGCAAGGGCGGGAGAGGGCACCGTACAATAAAAAATAGGACGAGGCAATAATTCTTAGATAGTTTACAAGCTAATTCAGCGAAGTAGCAGAAGTCTAGAGTAGAGCGGGCGGGCGGGGAAGAAAATGAGGAATGTGGCCCTCTGAGGAGGAGAATTGCTACGATAGACAAAGGTTAAAATAGAGTACGTTGTACAAGCTGTTCCGATGCACTCAAAGAAAGCACAGAAGCCGAGAGCGTTCGGGAGTTGGCTACGTGCAGGTGAAAAGTAGAAAAATATAAAAAGGAGGCTAGTGTATCCAAATCGCATGTGTACGCCCTGAACAGAGTAGCGGATAATGAATCCAGTAAACAGAAAAAGCGGCTCAGGTTATGTTCATGAAGAATTGGTCGAATTTTTGAAGTTTACATCTCGTAGTCGTTTGACTTCCGGAAGTTCTGCGCGCTCGCGGATCTCATCGAAGGTGTACTCTCTCAAGAGGTGACCGTTCTCAAACACCGGAATAAGCAGGTCCTACGAAATAAATGAGGTAAGAAGAGATGTAAGAAAAGTTAATGAAAGAAAGTGTTAATGAGATCCTTCACCATCAAAAGGCAAATTATAATACAAAAAACACCCGACCAGATACAGTAACGCCCAAGGTGGCAATGGAGGATTCGCCATTGCACCGTTAATACGAATGGGGGCGAGGAATTTAATGACAACGAACAAAAACGCACCTTTTCCAGATCTCCAAGGCCCTCCTCCATGGTTATGTATCCATTCTCTGAAGACGAGCGGAGAAGGCAAAGACGACCCTTCTTAGAGGTCTTCTGAGGGTCAGTTATGGGATGCTTGCATACATTGACCTGAAATGCGCAAGGTGTAGTCAGGTTGGCGGTAGTGACTGCTTGCCTGACAAAATTCTGACCTATAAAGAAACGTAT